GCTTGTTCAGTGGCTTGCCTAGGTATTGCTTTCCTTGCATTTGTCTACATTCTTCCTTATCATCTACCTGTTACGCAGGCATTGAATTGTTCTATTTTCGTCAATTATAGGGCTTGGTCCAATTCTTGCCTATAGCCAGAGAGGCTCGAGACAGCTCTGGGAAGTCCATAAAAAGCCTCGAGGGCACCATTGGCTTTTTGCAGGATAAGAACCCGATCCTCCTGCAGCATAATACCAAGCTCCGTGAGATGCAAACAGAGCAAAAGGCTGAGTTCGACGTCAAGCTTAAATCCCTTGATGAAGAGCTTAGTAACAAAAGTAAGGCTCTCGCGGAGAAAGATGCTGCTCTCGCGGTGAAGGAGACAGCGGTGTCGGAGAGGGAGGCCCTGCTGAAAGAGAAGAAAACGGCGCTCGAGCAAGAACGAGCTGCTCGAGCTGAGGCGAAAAATGCTCGTGGTGAACTGGAGGCCACCTTGACCAAGGAAAGGGCTGCCCATGCTGAGGAAAAACAACGCTATGCCAATGCTACTGCTCTTCGAGCAAGGCAAATGCTCTGGGCGACAATGACCGGGCAGCTCTTCCTTCATGAGCATCGCGCACAAGTGGTGGCTGACTTCATGCAGTCACAACAATTTCTCAAGGAGGTTCAAGATTTTGGGGTGGACTGCTTCCAGTTTGCCCTACAGAAGGCCGACAAGCAGATCACCGAGGATGACTTCGAGCAGCTCGACCCCGAGGTTATCTGGGATGCCTTACCAAAGGTTCCCTCTGGCTTTCGCGGGGATCCTACTCTACCCCTCGAACATGAGTGGTGGTCGGGACAGCTCGAAAGAACCTTAGGCCGATCGGATATTTTGTAGCAGACCTTCGCTCTGCCCGATGATGCTACTCCCCCAGCTGCCATGTTGGTCGCAATGGCTGAATCTTTTCGATGACGCCCACTTAATGAGGCCTGCGACTCAACCAATGGCACCGGCCCTCAGCTCGATCCAAATGCCAGCTCGAGCAACGTCGACTCGACTGCCGCCCCTCCTCCATAGTGTAGTGTTGTATTTTTCAGTTTCCATTTGTATTTGAATGAATTTTGTAATGTGTGAACTCTTCACGATCTCATGATCTTCTTGCAATGAAAATGTTTTGGTTGATTTATTTCTATCTTTGATGATGCTTGTGATGACCTAACTTGATATACTTGTGTGACTTCTTAACGAGGTAATTTGAGTGAACTCATATGCCATTAACACATCTTCTGTCTTTTAACTTGTATCTATCCGCGTAGTTATAAATTTTCGAACGCATGCTCACCCTCAAAGGGGTGGTCGTTATATACGACCATCCAACTTCGTGGCTTTAATCATGATGGATTTTTCCTTCAAGCGCATGACCACCCTCAAAGGGGTGGTCGTTACATACCACCATCCAGTCTCGTGGCCGAAATCATGATGTATTTTCATTTTTGAACACATGCCCACCCTCAAAGGGGTGGTCGTTACATGCGACCATCCAGCCTCGTGGCCTTAATCATGATGAAATTTTATTTTTGAACACACCCTCAAAGGGGTGGTCGTTACATGCGACCATCCAGCCTCGTAGCCTTAATCATGATGGATTTTTCCTTCGAGCGCATGCCCACCCTCAAAGGGGTGGTCGTTACATACGACCATCCAGCCTCGTGGCCTTAATCATGATGGATTTTTATTTTTGAACA